AGGCCAGGAATTTCAGAGCCTCCCGACAAAGATGAACCCAAAGAGGTCCACATCAAGCCACATCATTAAAATGCCAAAGGTTAAAAACAGAATCTTAGAAGCAGCAAGAGAAAAGCAGTTAATTTACCTACAAGGGAGCTTCCATAAGACTGTTAGCTGATTTCTCAACCAACACTGTAGGCCAGAAGGGACTGGCATGAAATATTCAAAGTGATGAGAAGCAAGTTTTCTTTACTCAGCAAGACTGTCATTTAGAATCAAAGGAGAGAGAAGTGGTTTCCCAGAGAAGAAAAAAACTAAAGGAGTTTATCACCATCAAACCAGTACTACAATAAATGTTAAAGGGACTTTTTTGAGAAGAAAAAATAATAAAAAATATGAATAAGAAAATATCACAAAGAAAATAATTCTCACTGACAAAGGCAAACAATGAAAGCAGTGGATCAACCAATACTAAAGCTAGTACAAAGGTTAAAAGGCAAATGTAGGAAGGTCATGTGTAATTTCAACAGTAAATTAAGGGATACACATAAACACAACAGAATTAAGAAATAATGACAAAAATATGTGGAGCGAGTGAGTAAAATGATAGTGGTTTTAAAATATGTTCAAATTGAAGGGATCATCCACTTAAAATGGACTGTTATAAACATAACTTGGTATATACGAAGCTCATGGTAACCCAAAAATCTACAAGAGATATACACAAAACGGAGAACAAATCCAAAAACAGCACCACAGAAAGTCCTCAATATACAAGAGAAGAGAGCAGGAGAAAAGGAACAGAGAAGAACTACAAAAACAATCAGAAATCAATAAGGGAGTAAAATATACCCACCTATCATTGTTTATTTTAAATCTAAATGAATTAAATCCTCCAATCAAAAGATGAATGGTTAAAGATGTGATACTTATGTACAATGGAATCTTAAAGTTTGCAACAACGTGGATGGACCTAGAGAATGTTAAGTGAGTAAGTCAGTGAGAGAAAGACAAATACCATATGATTTCACTTTTATGTGGAATCCGAAAAAAATAAAATAATTGAACAAACAAATCAAACTCATAGATGCAAAGAACTGACGGTTGCCAGATAGGAAAAGGGTTGGGAGGCTGAGTGAAAAAGGTGAAGGGATTAAAAATAGAAATTGACTGTTAGAAAATAGTCACAGGTGTATAAAGTGCAGCTTAGGGAATATAGTCAATAATATTGTAATAACTATATATGGTGTTAGGTGGGTACTAGATATATTGGTATGATCACTTTATAAATCATATAAATGTGTAACCACTATGCTGTATACCTGAAACTAATATAATGTTAAATGTCAACTGTAATTGAAAAATTAAAAAAATTGAAAATTTACATAATTTGCCAAAATCACACAACTAGTAGATAGTAAAACATACCATTGCGTAGCTAATTAAATAAATTTTAAAAATTAAAAATATATAGTAAAGTACTTAAGATTCATAACAGGAGTTGCATTCTAGAGAGAAAAGCATGCACTCATAACCACAGTCGGTCCTGTTTTTTGGCATGGTTGGAATAAATGGTATGTGGGAGCAATTTGTAGGGAACGAGTAGCTTACAGAGGTCCTATTTGTAAGCTATGTCAAAAGGTTTTGATAGGGATGTATTGAAGGATCTTGAGCAGGAGAGTAGGATGGCTAATATATTAAGATTATTTTGAGCATAGTATACAAAATATTTTGGAATGGAGAAATCAGAAAGCTATGTAGGCCAGAGAGAGAGAGAGGCTGGCAGAAGGAGAGAGTGCTAATTTTTTCACGTTAATAGATTTTGGGAGTGGATGCAGAAGAAATTGCTCAGAATTGAGAATGAGACCCCTGAGCACATCTCATTTTATTGGACATTATGGAGAAAAGCATTGGGAAGGAGATCAGAAAGTAGAAATCAAATGTTAACAAAGATTTTACAATAGCACCCTTGGCTTCATCTCTACCTGGAGGCCAGATTTTTCTTTCAGCACTCTGTATTTGTTATTTGTCCTCAGACCTTTTCTTATTTTGAGCTTTCTCTTCTGGGAGAGATTGTGGATAAAACATTGTTTTATTTTTTAACTCAGTAATTGTTGTTTTTTAAAAATATTTTCTCTAAACTCTGCTTGAAAACAGTACCTTCTTCTATAGCTCATCTATCTGTACCTTCTATTACACATATAAAAGAAACAAGTTGATAGTTTGAAAATTCTGCTTATAAATTACCTTAGCTAGAAGTAACAGTTTATTACCAACATTTTCTGTTTTTTTTTTCACTTACCACAGACAACATTTTGCCAATTTTTCTGTTACTTCTTTAACAGGGTCTTCTTTTCCTTCAGCTTCGGATAACATTTTACTCTCCTTTAAGTCTTCTCCTCAAGGCTCATCAGCCTTTTGCTAGTGAAAGCCTCAGGGCCCTTCCAGTTTTTGCCTACCACCCAATCCCAAAGCCATTGTCATATGCTTTTGTTATGTCATACTCCAGTTCCAGGTACCAAGTTCTGTTCTGGTTAACTATTGCTGTTGAATAGACCACCCCAAACCTAGTCCCAGAACCTATGTTGTTCTTCGTAACCTAGCCTTAGAAGTCCATCAGTGTTACTTCTATCTTGGATACAAGTTAAATGCCAGCCTGGATTTAAGGAGAAGGGAATCCAAATCTTTATGGTGAGGTGACTAATTTATATCATAGAAGAGCATGTGGAATGGGAGCTATTATTGCAGAAAATTTGGAAAATACAGTCTGCTGCAGACAGATAAAATACATAGGATTACAAAGGAAATCAATTATTAAAGTATTGTTGCCAAACTAATTGTTATAAGGTACATGTGCATTTTAAACACAATATACAACATGATACAGTGGAGCCTGTAGTTGTAAATATATTAGTTGTTTTAGAGGTTGGAGAAAATAATTTGCTTTTTCACCTAAGTTCATGGATCTCCTGAATTCTATCTACAGAGCCTGTAGCCTTTAGATTCAGAACCTTTGGATTAATGTAATGGTATTAACAGAAGTTATATTTCTGTATACTGGGCTTTGAAATGGTGTGAAGGGAAGGAGAGTGAGAAGACAGAGACTGAAGGGCGGACACTATAGGTTAAGTTCCACATACTAGTATTTATTTACCTTTTAAGCTGAGGGTTCTATTGTTCTTTAGATGGAGACTTAAATGTATTTATGTAATGAGGGAAAGATGGTAGTGAAGAGAGAAATTTGAATACCTAGAAAAGATAAAAGATATTTAAAATGTTTCTGAGAAGGCAGGAAAGGGTATGGTCTTGAGGTTAGGTGAAAGCATTAGTCTTGAACAAGAGGAGAGGCAAAAGGAAAGTATTTGTGGTTGCTCTTCCTGTATCAGGTCATGTGACATTCTGAGAGAAATATTGATATAATAAATTTCAACACAGGAACAGGGGAGGCCAAGGAAGACCCCAGGGAATATTAGATTAAAAAGTCCTGGAAAATATGAGAATGTTGGGGAGGAAAAGAGGTAGTGAAATAGGGATAGAAAAAAATAAGTGATATTGTAAGTGATTGGACGTAGAAGACAAACTGCCTAGTTTACAGTTTTGTTACTGCATTTTGTTCTATTTACCATGGATATTGATACAAAGTAAGTGGAAAGAGAATAAAATGCAGTTTTGTATTTTGACATTTGCTATTTAGAGTTAACTTTTTTTAAGTGTCTTGTTTAGCATATGTAATTAATACCTAGAATGTCTTTGCCACAAAATAACATAAAAGCTGTGGAGCTGCTTTTTTATGTATGCTGGGGTCGATAGTAAAAAGCATTACATGTGTTTGCTGCTTATGGCTGGATGGAAATTGATCTCAAAGAGTCTATGGTTTTCTTTTTCATTAGCCAACAGATGGCTCGCTACAGTGTTTTGCTCACTGTCTTTATTTAATGCAAGGGTAATGCATCTCTGTACACTAATGAGAAGAGCTGTACAGTTTAGAAGCTCATATCAGCTTTTAGCCACACATTGATCTTTCACTAAATGATTTATTTAAAAACCAAGCTGTTACCAACACCTGGTTGGCATATCTGTTTTCAAATTGTTTTGACTTTCTAATAAGTTGATCCTGACTTTAGTGTGTCTTATACAAGAGGTATTTTTTGTCAAAGAATTATTTGAGATCTTTTGAAATATTAAAAAATTTTAAATTTCAGGTCAGTACTATATATCATAAAAATCTTAGGTTCCTAGGCAAAAATATTTATGTATATGTGACTATGGTATAAAATTGCTTATTGACAATATTGCACATGCACATGTGTGTACATATATACACACCCAATGTTGTGGATGTTGTATATGTTTTATATAAGTATATTGATACTTATATACAATTATATGAAAGTATACATACGTATATACATTTTATCACAATTGAAATATTTTTAACTTGGTATTATATATCATATAATATTGCAAATATGTATATATTTATAGATATATATTTTGTGGAATGTCCAGGCTTTCTTTACAGTCCTCATCTTCCCTCAACAGCTGCTGCTTGGCTACCCTTAAGGCCAAGGAGTGCACACACCTGCATGAGGACCTGTCCTGGAAATGGGCTCAGCCACCTGAGCTGGATCTGGAGTTCAAGGTAGTTGAAAAGTGATCTCTGGGATTATACCCAGTAAAGTGCATAATCTTGTCCCTTGGCACTGCACATTATATGCAGAGAGGTATGGCCACATGAGGGCCAAATCCTTTGGGGCCAAAGCCTTGATCTAAGGGTAGTAGTGATTTTAATAGTAATTTAATAGTAATTTTTTAATAATACTACCAAACTTGATTGCCTCCAACATTACTTCTTCCTTTTGTTGTGTGGCCAGAAGGATTTCTCTAAAACCAAAACCATTATCACAACCCTGCTTGAAACCTGTCAGTGCTTTGCATTTTCATTGGGTTAAAGTCCAGACTTCCTAAATTGGCCTGTTGAAGATTCTTTGTGCCCCTTTCTGGTCATTGCTTACTTTTTATCTTTACTTATTTTTAAGCTCTGTTGTTTCCATGCCAAACAAGTACTATTTTCTACCTACACAACTTTGCATAGGCTATAGGTCTGTCACACTCCCCTCTCCCCATGAAGAAACTCTAGTATATCTATACACTCAGTTAAAATAACCTAACACTCAGTTAAAATGTTATATAGTCTGGCAAACCTTTCTTCACTTCCCCAGGAAGAATTAAGTCCTCCTCTCCAATATTTCCATTGTGATTTGAACAGTTCTATTATAGCACTCGTTTCACCGTGTATTATTTGCATATCTGTAAGCCTCACTCTCTGCCTTCAAAGGCAGGGACAGTTTGATTCACCATGGTATTAAGGCATTAATAGTGCCTGTTACCCAAGTGCTTAATAAATGTGTATTGAATGAAGAATGTAATTAGTGTAGTGCTTTAAGTGCAAATTGCTTTAAATACAGGACTGTTTATAGTAAACTCTTGCATATCCAAGGTGATTAAGGAATTGAGTATTCTATTAATTGTTTTTGCTGCATAACAGCCAATTACAAATTCTCAGTTTTAGATAATTTGAATGCTAAACAAAAGGGTCTGTACAGAATTTATAGGTCTTTGTTAATTCATAAGATACTTCAGCGTAATAATTCTGAATCGTATGGCTCTTTTAGAGCTATGGCTGAGGAAACTGTAAGGGATTGAGTGGTATCTGTAGTGTTTCTTTGTCATAAGCTGGACCTTGTTTTTACAGTTGACTCTCTAACATACTTATTTACTTACTATTTTGCCTACCTAAGCAGTATACTATAAATTTAACACTAGATAAAAGGGATTCACAATTGCATTACTATCAAATGTAGTTTTTAAAATGCTCAGAACACACAGACAAGCAACATACCTAAAGGCATGTGCACTATCCAAATTCACCAGACAGCTTTCTGCATTCAGGCTGTGTTCTATTCAGTGAAGTCCCTGCTGAGCCCAGGTGAGGTCTTATGAACTGAGCTAAGCAATTAATTTGATGGTACTCTCTGGCCATGACTGTTTCAGAGTGCTTGATCCCCATCTACATTATTTATTTATTTTTCTTCCATTCATTTGGAAATAGTGTAGTGGTTACTGCTCATTTGTGTATTAATTTAATGGTTATCTTTTGCTCTCACTTGTCCAATAACAGTGTTACAAATTATTAGTTGCAAAACTCAGAAATTACTTTTATGTATATGGGCCTGCATTTTCATATCTTTGAGGGTGGCTTTGAGCAGAGACCTGCTTGGAACCCAGGGAACAAGTAATTTGAAAACCAACATGGTAGTTGCACTCTAACTCTCTACATTGCTGTGCCTTATTCTCTTGTTAAACCTAGAAAACTTCCTGCAAAGCTAGATCCTTTTTTAAAAAAATATTTTTTATTTTTCAGTTACAGTTGGCATATAACATTATATTAGTTTCAGGTGTATGACATAGTGATTAGACATTTATATAGCTTATGAAGGTGATTACCCCAAGAAATCTAGTACCCGTCTGACACCATACATAGTTTTTACAGTATTATTGACTGTATTCCCTATGCTATATTTTACATCCCCATACTATTTTGTAGCTACCAATTGGTATTTCTAATTTGTATTCCCCTTTGATACCTACTGCCCAGCCCCTCTCCCATCTGGCAACCTTCAAAATGTTCTCTGCATCTGTGAACTTGTTTCTGTTTTGTTTGTTTTGTTCCTTAGAGTTCACATGTAAGTGAAATCATATGTCATTTGTCTTTCTTTGCCTGACTTTGTCCACTCCGCACAATACCCTGTAAGTCCATCCATGTTGTTGCAGATTGCAAGATTTCATTCTTTTATTTGTTTCTTTTTATAGCTAAGTAATATTCCATTGTGTACCACCTCTTCTTTATCCATTTATCCATTGATGGCCACCTAGGTTGCCTCTATATCTTGGCTATTGTAAAAAATACTGCAGTGAACATATGGATATACACGTCCCTTCAAAGTCGTATTTTGGGTTTTTTCGGTTAAATACTGAGAAATGGGATTACTGTTTCCTTCTTTGTCTCTTATTATAGACTTTGTTTTTAAAGTCTGTTTTATCTGATATAAGTATTGCTACCCCAGGTTTTTTTAAAATTTCCATTTTAAATACTTTTAAATATTTTTTCCCATCACTTTAAGTCTGTGTGTCTTTTGATCTGAAGTGAGTCTCTTGTAGATAGTATATGTAAGAGTCTTGTTTTCTTATCCATTTAGACACCCTGTCTTTTGATTGGAGCATTTAATTATTTTTTATTTGAAGTAATTGTTGATAGATATGTAGTTATTGTCACTTTATTATTCGTATTTTTCAAAACATTTTTTTCTTAAAGAAGTTCTTTGAACATTTCCTATAATACTGGCTTGGTGGTGAAGAAGCTCTTTATCTGTCCTTAGATTCTGAATGTTAGCTTTGCTGAGTAGAGTAATCTTGGTTGTATATCCTTGCTTTTCATCACTTTGCATATTTCATGCCAGTCCCTTCTGGCCTGCAGTGTTGGTTGAGAAATCAGCTAACAGTCTTATGGAAGCTCCCTTGTAGGTAAATTAACTGCTTTTCTCTTGCTGCTTCTAAGATTCTGTTTTTAACCTTTGGCATTTTAATGATGTGGCTTGATGTGGACCTCTTTGGGTTCATCTTGTTCGGGAGTCTCTGAAATTCCTGGACTTGTATATGTATTTCCTTCACCAGTTAGGGACGGTTTTCTGTCTTTATTTCTTCAACTAGGTTTTCAATTCCTTGCTCGCTCTCCTACTTCTGGTACCACTATGAGGTGAATGTCAGTACCCCTGATGTTGTCCCTTAAATCATCCTCACTTTTTTGTATTCTTTTCTCTTGTTGCTGTTCTGATTGGGTATTTTCTGCTACCTTTTCTTCCAAATCTCTGATTTGATCCTCTGCTTCATCTAATCTGTTGATTCTTGCTAATGTTTTCTTCATTTCAGTTATTGTATTTTTCATTTCTGACTGGTTCTTTTTTATGTTTCTTAGCTCCATTTTTATGTTTTCTCTTTGTTTAATTTCTTAATGAGTTCATCTGCTCTTCTAAGTTCACTGAGCATCCTTATAACTAGTGTTTTGAACTCTGCATCTGGTAGATTGCTTGTCTCCATTTTGTTTAGTTCTTTTTCTGGAATTTTGTCCTGTTCTTTCATTTGGGACATGTTTCTTTGTCTCTTCGTTTTGGCTGCCTCCCTGCGTTTGTTTCTATGTATTAGGTAAGGTTTCTAAGACTCCTGGTCTTTGTAGAATGGCTTTATGTATTAGGTGTCCTATGGGGCCCAGTGGCACAGTCAACCCTGATCATCTGAGCCAGGTGCTCAAGGTGTGTCCGTTGTATGGGTTGTTTATACTTTCCTGTTGTAGTTGAGCCTTTGTTGCTATTTGCACATCAGTGGGAGTAATTGAACCACGGGCTGATTAGATGTGAGTATTGGCTGGTGAGGAGCCAAACCTACGGAGCGGGCTTCACTTTAGCAGGGCTCTGGTGCCTGACCAGTCTGCCTTTTGGATGTATCCTCCTTAGTTGCAGCCATGGGTGGTGCTTCGACTCCGGTTGAAACCAGGCACTGGGTGCAATGACCCAAGGGCCTCCTGGGAGGGGCCCAGCTGCAGGCCAGGTTTAGACATAGCCTGTGCACTGCCCGGGGCTACCTGGCAAGAGTCACCAAGCAATCCTCAGATGGCTGCCACCCATGTTTGTCTGAGTTACCTCAACAGGCCATGCCATGAACCAAGGTAGGCTGCTGCTAGTGCCAGACTTGAGGCTTCTCAGCAAGAGGTATGGGGCATGTTGAGGCCAGATACTGCTTCTTTGACTTCTGTGAACCTTTGGAAGATTTTAGGAAAGTCCATAGCATGAGCCAAGACAGGCTATTTGTATGGAAAAGAACACTGTTGGTGGCTCGGGTAGGACCACAAGTTGGAAGAGGCAAGGTCTCAGGGAATAACCTGTGCGTGGCAACCTGTGTTAGCCAGGTTGATGGAGTCTCAGAGATGGTGATCACCTAGGTCTGCACACTGGGTGGAGGGAGGGTTCAACACTCTGCTGGCACTTCTATTCAGGAGAAAGCTGCCCCTCCAGCCCTCGCCCTGAAGTCAGACAGCTTATTTCCTCCCTGTGTGTCACTTTTATAAAAGTGAATCATCTTGATTTACGTAGACTGATTGACCTAAGTGTTAACTTGAATATCCTGCATGAAAGACAGACAGACAGATAGATAAACATAAAGGATTAAGTAATTTTTAAGAATGTGAATGTTAGAGTCATTAATGATAGAAACAATGGACCCTATTATATTTCATTTAATCTTCCTGTCCATTTTGTGAGAGTAGGTGGTATTAACCTCATTTTACTGATGAGGAAAACTGAGGTTCAGGGAGCTTGCACAGCTGATGAGTATTAGAGGTGGGATCTAGTCTGTGATCCCAGTGTTCTTTTTATAATAGCATATAGCTTAAGTAGACACATTGCTACATCATTTAAAGTAAGCTTTGATCTTCATTGTTTTCTTGTTCTTTTCTCAAAATGAAGTTAGAGCCTTATGAAAATGCTATTGTAGAAAAATGCATTTATTCAATAGCATTAAGCATAGTTT